AAGCCTAAGACGATGCTGATGAGCAGTATTTACAGTGCAGTGTAGATGCTTCATATGTTGAGAATGTGAGCAACTTTGGCGAAAATTAATGACTAAATGTGGAAGTTTTCCTCCCTCATTTCGTATTTTTGCAGAGGCAAATAAGCTTCCTCCGTCTATTTCTCAGGTAGGTAATCTCAATACAAGACAGCTTTCATTCACTTGAACATTCAAAACTCTTTTCGGGTTGGAAATGGTTTCCTTGCTCTTCATTATTCATGCATTCATTCCGTGCAGAAATTAAGCACCGATCTCCTTCTATTTAATAGTTCTCCAATTATTAATATGACGTAGACGAATGTTTTTCCTTTTTTCTCAAATAATTTCGGTAAAACTTCGAACAAGCGAATTATTATTTTTTGATTAGAATAATCTCGCCGATGTTCAGCTATTTTTAAGAAATGTTTTCCTGACACTTGCTCAGCAATGGAGTACACGTTATTAGAAAAGTAAGACCTAAGCCAACTCATGCGAGTATTAAAAAGTAGATTCCAAGAGTTTGTCGTTGGTTAAAGGTCAGTGTTGCAAAGATGACTAGCAGAAACCAACCTTCTCAACATCCTCTTTACCGATGTGGTACTTGAGTGCCAGCTCTTTCGCATTACTCAACTTGGCATTCTTCTTCTTCAACTTTTTCTTCGGCACTTTGTGTTCCATGAGAACTTTCCAAAACATGTTGTCCTTCCCCTTTTCAAGTGACATCTCTTCTGAAACTAAGTTTTCTTGAAAGGATCAAAAGAAATTCAATAGAAGATGAGACTAAGCACGAAGGACAATCAAACATCACGGAATCCCCGATTCAATGGGTCGTTAGTAATCGTTTATTGGGATTATTTACTTGCACTTGGCAGGTATAGATTATGCGTATCTGCACAAACAAATTATAGCGGAGAAAAACCAAAAATTCGAGAGCCGATTCTCTATCTGCGATGGTTCATCACTAATCATCCGAGATAAGAGTTTAAACTAGATCGAAAAAAGTACGCTATGTAATCCTCGTAAAAAATAGCCCACAAACAAGAATGGATGGGTTGGACAAAATGATGACAATGAATAATGATATTCTTAGAAGGTCACCTGTCGTATACATCCTTACTAGAGCAGACAGCTCCATAAGTATGAACTACAGAATGAGTGAAAAGTAATGAATTTCATCACATTCTGAAAAGCGAAATTTCAAAATAATCCAT